GGCTAAACTATTGGGGACAGATGGCATTTTCCTAAGGAGTTCTGAGAGAACTCAAGGATGAACTGGGATAATGATGTCCCAGAAGTGAAAACTGCTGCCATCCTATTCTGCAGATTGCAAAGGTGAACCAATTGAAAACAAAATAATTAATTAGTTATTAATTAGTTTTAAAAGTCTCCAGAGGAGGAAGTTCCTGGGAATTAGACTCAAGAATTCTCTTCTTCATCTTGTCCAACTAGCAGAATCTATAATGAAGAATGAGATTACTGAATGTTTAAATATAATTCTCTGAGAAGAAGCTACACGGTTTCTGTGACAAGAAATTGTGCCCAGATGATGCATTGTTTTGAAGGCACCAATAAGGAATTAATAAATATAATTTCCATTTTGCAAACTCTTTGACAGCCTGCCTCTCCAAAATCAATTTCATGGGCTTTTGGCTATAATCTGCACAATAATGGTTCTGACAAAGATCCAGGACAAAGAAGACTAGGTGTAACTGAGCATTTCCCAGGATGCGGATGTGCATAAGGTGAACTGCCTAAGAGAGGAGTGCTCAACTTGATCTTTATATATATATATATATATATATATATATATATATATATATATATGAGTAGTTTGTCAATTAGTGGAGTAGCCTTCTCACAGTGAAATCTCCAGAGTGTGTATTTCTGTTAGGAAAAACCCAAGCCAAAGTGGGTAAATGATCTAACACATTTACAAATCTGTAATGTGAGTTACGTATGACATACCAATAAAGACTCTGAGTTATGTGTGTAAAAGCAATGATTCTGTGTAATTAGTTATAACAGAGGCAAAGAACTGGGAATACTTGTAAAGCACTTTTTTGGTTCAAAGTAATGTGTGTTTCTTTTCAGAGATATTCAACTATTTACCTTTTATTCTTTTCAGCCCTGCCTCCTCCTCCTTCTTCTCCTTCTTTCTTCTTCCATTAAAAAATCAAAACAAAATGTGATATATATATAATATAAAATTTAAAATTTCAGGAAGTAAGGATGAGTCATGAGTTTACATCTGGAAACTCAGGTACAGCTCCCATCACTGTGCCTTGGTGACACAGGAAGGTTGGCAGGAAAGTTTTATATTTTCAGGACCCAGCTGACTGTCTTGATTATAAAATCGTATTTTGAAGCTGTTTTATGAAGCAAGACCTTATACATGATATTATTATTATAAATAAACTATAAATCTGACCAAATATGGAAATTTCTACTTTATATGGGGACTTCTGTATCAATTTTTTTCTTTATTAATAAAATGGCATATCCTAGTGCTTTATTTGGAAAGGATGTGGACTTTTTCTGGGAGTGATAATGTCTTGATCTGTGACAAAGATAAATCTATGTGATTTATTGCAAACACGTTTGTTTCATTTCGTTACATTATATTCTGTGAACATTTTTTTCTAGTCTTTAATTAAACATGATTTATACAAATTGAGGTCAGTTTCCATTTAGATTGCTTGCAGTGTTAATTATAGTGCAAATAGCCTTCACTGCAGAAAGAACTGCATCATACAAATATGTAAATGCTTTTGTGTAATTTGCAACTGTTCTCTAAGCTTGTGTGTTACTGGGCATGTGCCTATGCTGAAATGTTTTGCTAACTTAGCCACTATATTAAAAATATGGATAACTTAAGATAACATGTATATTTTTATGTATTTAGATTTAAGTAGGTTTTGAGTTTTGAAAACATTGAAAAATGCACATGTAAACAATGAAAAGGTCATTCTATCACAAATTGAGCCTATCTACAAAGAATTTTAACTTTAGCAAATGCCATTCCAATTCATTCCACTTCATGTTAACCTCTGGGTAAAGGTGTTAACTGTTGATTTTTTAAGATCAGATGTCTTTAATTATAACTTGCTTTGCTGACAGTTTATAGATGGGGCCTGATGAACCTGTGGCTAGAAGGTTTAAAGGTTGATTCGTCTCAAGTATATTTACACTCACATATTTTAGTTACTACTTATTGTGTAAAGACTTGGAAGATTAAGGAAGCAAAAAAACAGCAGTATCTATGTATAACAATTATTGATTATTCTCACATTAATTATGAGAACTTCCTTCTATTAACATTACAAATCAACAAGAGCTGGGTTTGATTTTACTCATGAAGTAGTTTAATCTTAAAATGATAAAATGCATAGAGCCTCTTACATGAGACTTAAAATATATGCTGTACCTATTAACATCAAATCTTGTGTGGGCTTCTGTCCCTTCTCCTTGTGTGCGTTTCTCAAGTCCATTTTACATATGGCTTCACTGGGTTCTTCTAACATAGAAGGGTGAAGGAAATACCCTCTCATCCTTCTCATCCTGCTCCAAATGTTCATTGCCAAAAAATAAAACCCTGTTCCATCAGCCTGCACTAAGAGTTCATCATAAGCTGGTCCCTATCTACATCCTCTGACGGGATTCTAGCACTCTCCTTCATTATCTTTGCTCCAAAATACTTTACTCCTATACCTGAACACACCATCATATCATGAACATTCTTCTTCAAAGTTGTGATTCATTCTGTTTCCCTGCTTGGAAATAGACTGCCACCTCTATCACATCCTTATTAATCTTTATTAAACTTTTTCTTCTTGTCTAAGATCAAATTATCTTTTGCTTATGTGGGCTCTTCAGACATATAAGAGAATAAATTTTTGCATCTAACTTTACAAAATATGGCAATGTTTTCTCTAAGATATGAAGATATTTACCATTGACACATTCTCATCTATAACAAATTGTAGTAGAGAAGATACAGATAAAGATGTATTGAGCATGTTCCAAAGTAGCCAAACATTACTATTGTCATATGTTGAGTTGGCAACAATAAGTAGCATGGGGATTTTCATGTGGCTTTCAAAATGTTTTGCATGTTAGTCTACTATAAATATAGTCTCATTATAAGACTAAGTGAAATTTTGATAAGCACAAAGAGAGCTTAATATATTATTATATTTTGAAAAAGAAAAGAAATAACTTATACTAAATTTCTTTTCTTTCCCCTCCCTCCTTGACTGCCTCCCGCCCTCCCATCCATCCTGCATTTTTGTACAGTTTCTGTGTTTAGGAGTCTATTATACTTTTTTCCCCCCGAGACAGAGTCTGTCACCCAGGCTGGAGTGCAGTGGTGCTGTCTTGGCTCACTGCACCCTCAGCCTCCCAGGTTCAAGCGATTCTCCTGCCTCAGCCTCCTGAGTAGCTGGGATTACAGGTGAACGCCACCATTCCTGGCCAATTTTTGTATTTTTAGTAGAGATAAGGTTTCACCATGTTAGCCAGGCTGGTCTCAAACTTCTGACCTTGTGACCTGCCCACTTTGGCCTCCCAAAGTGCTGGGATTACAGGCATGAGCCACCACGCCCAGCGGAGTCTGTCATACTTTAGAGCACACAGAATTTTAGAGATATTTTAGAGATTAGCAGATTCTGATTTTATCCTACTATTTGAAATTATAAAGTACTCACATTATTTTGATTTTTTCTGAGCACAGTCATGGATTGTCTCTATTCTCAAGCTGTGATTGTCAACCAGAAACCAAAAAGGGGTGCTTTTTGAGAGAAAGTTATTACCTAAGGAAATTTAGACCAGACTTTCTGCAGCAAATGTGAGGGTAACCAACTCTGCTTTCCAGAGGTGCTACTAATTAGAAGAAAAAATGTCAAAAGAAAGGGCAAAATTGAGATTTTGGAGTACTTTTTCCTTGTTTCCTCTTAGAGATAATTTAATAATCATCTTGCTTTAAGCAGCTGTAATAACCCAAGACTTCAGAACTACCATTTGATACATTATAGGGTATCAGAAGGCAGATTACAAATCTGGAATAAAATTTTTTAGCATTGTGAACATGATTGTTTCTATTGTTCTGGTAGAAAATTTGTTAGGAAACATTTTTTTTGGGCCCCAGTTGTTTTCCAGATAGAGTATGACATTTTCAGGAATACAAAGAACAGGACAGGATAGGAACTTCATTTGTGGAGCTCATTTCATGACAAGGTGAAAGAGGTAAAGGCACATAAACAATTTCCAAGTCTTTAATACAGTTAAAAACAACACTAAACAGTTAGAGAAATGAAAGCAGATAGGGAGTTCAACTGGAGTAGTTCATAGGATGAGGAAGAGATGGGGAGTTATGTGTGCTCTCCAGCTACTGTACTAGCTCCCGCAGAATCCAACGTGGTGCTGTGATTCAAGGAAATGATTTGTGAATATCCATGACTGATATTTGATTGAATTGGTCATTGTTTCTTTTGTGTTCAAAATCAAATTTGTTTTCTCTGTCGTCCAAAATTAGCAAGGAAGAAAGTATAATTTGCTCAATGTTTTATATTTCATGTGATTTTGCATCAGATATAATAGTAGTATATCAAAGTAAGTCCCTTTAGTCATCATAACTTTAGAAATCCTTGAATGAGATTAGGAAGTGATCATCATTTACATTTATTAAACTTTGCATGTAACGAGCTTTAGCTATTAACTCTAATTTGCTTCTCATCGTATTCATCAAAGACGAACTATTTAGAAACTAAAACATCTCTGTCAGTTAGAATTTTAATGAATTAAGATGAAATGAGACAGTGTTAATTGGCAGTTGCTGCAGGGGAGGTTTCTCGATCTTGTAAGTGAAACCAGTTCATCTTTCTTTCAGGGTTAATTTGTTTGATTTAGTTCTAAGGGTACACTGAATATTTCCCCAAACTACCCATATTTATTTTTATAATGGGAGAGTGGTTTAGTTCTATTGGTCCTTCATTGGGATTCTGAATTTTATTTGAAATTGATTAAATTTAATGGTTAATAAATTGTTCATTTTTAAGGAGCATTGTATTATTGACTAAACACACACATACACACACACACACACACAAAGGAATAGCATTACTAAGACATTTGTATTTAAAATGTCTAAAACTTTCGAATACCCAATCATTTCTTCCAATAATTCTCTTCCTCTTTCCTTTCTGTTTTCCTTAGACATAAATGAATGTGAAGTTGAGCCTTGCAAAAATGGTGGGATATGTACAGATCTTGTTGCTAACTATTCCTGCGAGTGCCCAGGCGAATTTATGGGAAGAAATTGTCAATACAGTAAGTATTCACGTGTGTGTGTGTCTGTGTGTGTGTGTGTGTGTGTGTATGTACATGCATATACATTTTTATGTACATCCTCTACATTTATCTTGGAATCTGGGCCAAACTCAATATTATTTGCTCTCAGAGTGCACAATCAATTGAAATGGTACTTTTCATATTTGTTGTATGTTATTAATATGCATATATCCTCTAGGATGTCTCACTTAGTGCACAATATGTATAGAAGTGGTATCTTGTGACCTGAAAAGAATGACATTTCCTCAGATGCCCAAGTTCCAAGGATCCCATTTTGGTTTATGATTATGTATATGACTGAAATTTCTCCCACCAGAGCGACACTTTGGTTCTGAGAGTAAATTCAGGGCATTGAAACTAGAAAGACAAGGCACGCTGGCAAATGCCTGTCATCCTAGCACTTTTAGAGGCCTTGGTGGGAGGAGCCCTGGAGCTCAAGACCATCCTGGGCAACACAATGAGACCCCATATCTAAAAAATAAAATTAAATTAAATAAACCAGTCAGCCTCTATTACTAATAAAAGGTAAAAATAAAAGAGGACGCATTTGATTTTTCCCACACACCTATCAAGAATGTTCCACACTATTTATTTGTCTTACTGGAAGCCAAAGACAGTAGGGTCTTGAAATGATGTATGAAGTGACAGGGCAGGTATCCGCCCAAAGTGCTAACAAAGAGGCACAAAGCACCACTCTCCAAAAAAAAAGCTGGGAAAAAGTAGTAACAGGATTAAAGTCAATGGGATGGGGCCTATCGGGCCCAAACACATGTTAATAAGAATACTAATGATATAGCCTTATAATTGTTGGACAATTAAAGGAAAGCTCATACTGCTACTGCTTTGATGTATATTGTATGATCTGAGCACCACAACAATGTTATTCAAATTCAGAATGTAGATACAGATGAGAATTCAGATGCAGAAGCTGAGACACAGGTGGTGGTGTTTGGCCAAGCTTTCACAGCTATTTAGTGACAGAAGCCCTGCTACAGGTTTCGGATTTCCAGCTCAGTGTATTTTCCTCAAGACTGAGATACCTCTTTAAATAGACAAGTATAAGATAAATCTGAATACACAAGACATGTTCATTTTTTATCACAAACACACACACACACACACACACACCCCGCATAGTTCTTTCTCTTCAGCTATAGAGCTATAGTAAGAAATTTATTTCTCATTTTATTTTTGTTTCTTTGTCTTTGGCCATGATCTTTATAAAATAAAATAGGAAATATTGTTGAACAATTTGATATATATAAAATATGTATAAATAAAATAATGTTATAAAATGACATGCTTATTACTGTAGTCCGGACAAACTGCAGAAAATAATTAAATTCTGAATATTACAGAAACATCTCGAATTGGAAAAAAACTTTTCTAAGCTTTAAATAATTGAGGAAGGACATTGAGCATGAGTTGATGAAACAAGGTGCAGGGCACAGAAGGATGGAAAGGGAAGGCTGAGTAAGTAGGTTGACCATACAACCAAATAGACCAATAGCCACCCAACCAACTAACCTAGAAACCTTCCCATCAAGCATTCAACTAACCACCCACTAAGCTAATGCAAGCTCAGGTTCAGCTGCTCTTTGGCCTGTCACAGGAACTGCACTTGCGTCCATTTTTGTTTCACGGAGCTTGAAGGGGGCTGCTCAGTCAACACTGAAAGTTGTGCTAAAAAAACACCTCTAAGATGTCTGTGAGTGAACATCTTAATATCATGATGCACAAAAAACTGATGTCAGTGACTATTTCACCTTCATTCAGCAAAAATAGAGAATTGATACCTGAATAGAGAACCTTCCAGGAAGGAAGTTTAGCATAGTTTAAAATAGTACCTGGGTTTGAGCATGTCTAGGCAGGGTAATGCCACCTCTAACCCATAGGAGGCCTGACTAGGGTAACAATTGTCAGGAGAAACCTTCCCATTTTCCTGAAAGGAGGATTGAATGAATCATAAGAACCCTGCCTGGGGATGAGTGTCACTCTGAAGTAATGAATTAGGCTAGGAAGTGTCACCTGAGGGTGTAGATATCCTGGAAGAGGAGCCCTAGTATATGGAGCTATAAGGCATGGAGGAACCGGCGAACAGGTTGAGTTGATAGGCTGGGGATGAGGGGCTTAGGAGACAGTAAAGCTATGAAAGAGAGAGAGAGGCCCCTGCCCTGTCGTTAGTTTGTGCCTAATGTCTTCCAACCAGTTTATCATATTGTGTTAAAGAAAATCTTTGCTTTTCTTTGAATGAGCTTTATATCTATATGATATTTATATTTAAATTCAGATTCCTCTTTGAAGATGAGTATGATAGTGGTGCGCCTCCCTTAAACTGTCATGTGACCTGACATTCTAGCATTTCCTCTATTCTCTGTGCCATGACAAACGGATCAGAAACAGCCACTTAGGGAGTTCTCTAAAATATTTCCTATTGGCATGTCTGCTTTTATTTTATTGAATGTTAAGAACATATAATAAATTAAGGATCTTTATTCTCCCTATTGTGTAGGTTTCTCGGGTTATGGTTCTATTTTTTTCTGTAGCCTCTTAGAGTTTTTAGAAAATCTAGAGTAAAAAGGGGGATTCTGACACACTGATGATTTAGTTCTGCACATTGAGAACTCAGATAATTCACTTACTATGGGGCACACAGAAGCACCTTCAGGTTACAGGTGGTACCAGATCTAAGCTGCTTGAAGTTAGTATCTTGGAAGTTGTTGACATTACATAGATGATAACTCCTGTACTGGCTTCTACCCTGGAATATGATTGATAAGCTTTCTTCTGGACTTTGTGTCATGTCCAAGAGGGCAGCCTTTCCCTCATTTATTACCAGACTTACAATTTTAAACTATATATTAAGGCTGCCTTTGCCAATACAATTAAATGAAATATTTTCAAAACTGGCGATACACCACATTTTAAAAACTCAAATATATTTATTTTAAGTTAAACAATTAAAAGCAAAATGTTTTTGTTAAAGATACTGCCTTAATAAATACTACAAAAATAATTATCAATTATTTACTATAATGTATATCTTTAATTAATACAGCCATTAAGCACTTTTACACTTTTACTTTGTAAGGAATAAATTTATATCTAACTCTATTGTGACCTGTCGCAAAATTATTTGGTAATAATTATTATGCAAATCAATTACCTACTGAACATTTTCAATGACAATGAAATTACTTCATCTTAAAAATGAACTTCTAATACTAGGCAAAAAAAGTTTCCCCTAGCTTTTCCAGTAATTATCTTCTAATTATATTTATAGGGGAGTTAAATCAGAAATAAGACATATTTCTGATTTAAATAATTTCACTTTAGGCTTCTAGATGTGATCCATACAACTTATTTACTTTGGAAGATCTCAGTTCATTTTTATTTTTATTATTTATATATTACAAGGGTTTAGTTAAGTTTTATTATTTTTATATTTTACATGAAATTGCATTTCATTGATATGTGAAAATCATTTAGATGTTCCTGTAGTATTTATCACAGCATTACAGCAATTCTTCTGATGAAAGTCCTAATTTAATTCCTTTGTTCATTTTATTTATTTATTTATTTTGAGATAGAGTCTCACTCTGTCACCCAGGGTGGAGCGTAGTGGCATGATCTCAGCTGACTGAAAACCTCTGCCTTCTGGGTTCAAGCGATTCTCCTGTCTCAGCCTCCTGAGTAGCTGGCACTACAGGCGCGCACCACCATGCCTGGCTAATTTTTTTGTAATTTTAGTAGAGTTGGGGTTTTACCACTTTGGTCTGGTTCAAACTCCTGACCTCAAATGATCCACCCACTTTGGCCTAGCAAAGTACTGGGAATACAGGCATGAGCCACGGTGCACGGCCCCTCACTCCTTTTAAATGTTATAAGTGACAGTTATTTCCATAAATAGCTTGAAAAGAATATGATGATGAATTGGAATGAGAAAACTATAGATAAGTTTGTCACTTACAAACTTAACTTTGTAAGTTTAACTGAACATGATGTTAAACTAGATTAAGTGCAGTGAAAATTAATAACACTTTAGCTAACTAATGTAAAGATAACTAGAATTCTTCTCATTTATTGGACTATGTGTCTCACAATACCTGTATACATTTCCCTCCTGGGTGCTTAAATATGACATGCTTAAATTTCAGAAATGGCATTCAGATTCATTTTTATCACCAACTCTACTTTGGAAAATATAGTTATCAAGGGAGCCCTTATAATGCAACATTCCCAAACAATTATGACAAACAAACAAACAAAAAAGACTTGGGTGATTTCAGAGTGTTTTACTAAAAATGAAAGCTAAAACCTTCTAGTAAGGACTGAGAGATGTTTCCAAATATCACAGTTATCCTGTTTTTGCCAATTTAATAAAGTAATCTAGATAATTATATAGTCATTTAAGAATTCTGTCTGTGATATTATAAGGATATTAAAATAATACCTGTGAATATTTTTTTAAATGGTAAATTAACATTTTCTTATTTTGATTGTTTCAGCAGCTTTAACTCTTTTAGCCATCATTATAAATTAACTAGTATTTCCAAGCACATAAATATAGACAGTATATACTCGTGTGTGTGTGTATATGTGTGTGTGTGTGTTCTTTCTTTCTTTTTTTTTTTTTTAGACGGAATCTTGCTCTGTCTCCCAGGTGGCTAGAGTGCAGTGGTGCAATCTTGGCTCACTGCAACCTCCACCTCCCAGGTTCAAGCAATTCTCCCACCTTGTTGTCCCAAGTAGCTGGGATTACAGGTGCCTGCCACCATACCTGGGTAATTTTTATATTTTTAGCAGCAATGGCATTTCATCATGTTGGCCAGGCTGGTCTCGAACTCCTGACCTCTGGAATCCACCCGCCTCAACCTCCCAAAGTGCTGGGATTACAGGTGTGAGCCATGGTGCCTGGCCCCTATATTCTTTCTTTTGATATCAATGTGTACTACCAAGTATATTTGTTTGAATACAGA